GTCCTTTAGCCACTCAACCAGTCTGTCCCAGGTGCCGGCAGGGAGAAGACAGGCCTGCCCTGCCCCATGACAATGGTGGGACGGAGCTGGGTGTCTTGCCTGTCCACCACATGGTTTAGATTTCTTCTCAAACTTGGGAGCTTTTTTGGTAAACATTTAAATGAGGCCCAAAAAGGGGTTAGTGACTTAGAGTATTATAATGCCACAGTGTTTGTAAGGAACAATGAAGACGCAAGGGTGGGCACATGTGAGTCTACCTGCCTATCACAGGAGACTCCATGGAGGGGTGCAGGGCACGTGTGAGAGAAGTCAGAGCAGAGGGACCACAGGCGCAAAGCAAGAGCACTGCGTGTTTGGGAACAGCTTTTCCAAAGAGAAACTCAAGTTCCCAAATACTTGTCCTGAGGTCTGCCTCTAATAATGAGATTCTAAAGAATTCCTGGCAGGAAAACATTAAAAACAAAACGAAACAAAAACAGCAACGCCCTGGACTCCAACCCACACCCAAGGACTCCGTATCTCAGGTACCAGGCACCGACATTTTTAAAGGCCCCCGCCCCACCCAGGGGACTCTCCCACCGGCCGTCCACACCGGCCACGTGTGGCCACCGAGCACCTGAGTGTGTGAGCCCAAACCCAGACATGCTCTGCATGTCAAACACACAGACTGTGAGGACTTAGGAGGAGGAAAGGAAGGTAAGCTATCCCCCTCGTTTTTACAGCAGCTGCATGCTGTAATGGTTACTTTGAAGACACCAGGCTCGCGAACAGATAGGATGAAAAGGAATTTCTGTTGACTTCCTCACGGGGCTGCTAGGCAATGGGAAGAGGTACACGTGGTTCGTACTCGGTTTCCACTGGACACGCTGTTCTGACAGGAGCCGCGGTAAGTGTCCATCTTTACAAGCCTGCGGCTGGCAGAGGCTGCAGAGGGGATGTGCGGCCGAGCTGGCCGGCCGGCCCTGTCCGGTCCCTTCCCCACCGTTAACCTGGGCTGCTCCCGTTCCACACGGGGCTTGGCGCTCGCAGGTGCGGCCCCTCTCTCGAGCGGACCTCACGGGAAGCTTTAGGGCTCTATTTCCACATCCTGCAGGGGAAACTGAGGCCCAGAGAAGCGAAGGGACTCAGAGCTAAGGAAAAAGCAAGTCTGGAATTTATCATTTCCAAGCCTGAGTCCTCATCCATAACAGGCCTCAAAGGCAGGCCTGCCTGGTCACGAATGGCTCTGAAGCTGTGAGGCTTGGTGGGGGCGGGAGGGGAGGGAGAAAGACGACTTCCTGGCAGTGTGCAGAGCACTGTCCTACCTGGCGTGCGTTCTGGATGTATTAGTAACCTATTACTGCTATCGCAACACGCCACAAACCTGTGGCTTATACCTATCGTCTCCCCGTTGAGGTCAAAAGTCCAAAATGGGTCTCATGGAGCTAAAGTCTCGGTGCCAGCAGGGCACCTTCCTTCCTCGAGGTTCTGCAGGAGAACCTAGTCCCACCTGCCCCAGCTTCCAGAGGACACCGCCTCCCCTGGACACCACCTCCAAGGCGCCAGCATTGAACGGCTCTTCCATATGTAGAGACCACGTGACTGCATTGGGCCCACCTGGCTGACTCAGGCTAGTCGCTCCACTCTGAGGTCAGCTGATGAGCATTTTCTTAGCAAATAGACTAACCCGTCTTCACAGGTTCCAGGCATCAGGAGGCGTGTGCATCGCTGAGGGGCTGATCTCTATACCTTACAACAGCCCCAGGAGGTGGATGGGGTTATCTCCATCTTTAGAGACAACGAACGTGATTCAGGAGTTAAACAACTGGCACAGGGACACCGACTAGCCCTCAGGTGCACCTACCTATGGGAGCCCTCCATGCTACCTTTTTCCCCGAAAATAAGACATCCTCCGAAAATAAGACCTACTTACAGGTTTCCTTCTGAGTGGAATATAAGGCATCCCCCTGAAAATAAGCCCCCCCTAGGCTAAACACGAGAGATTTGGTCCACTGATTCTGAAAGAAATGGAGTCACAAGAAATTCACCAGGAAATTCAGGAATTGGATTGTTATGATGATGTTCCAGAAGATGATGGCATGATTGTCATTGAATAAATGAGTAAATTCTTGATACCATAGGATTCACAGTTTGTCTGGTTTGTGTTGACAACTACCGTACTACCGTACCGTATACAGGTAATAAATTTCCTTTATTTTCTTTTTTTTTTTTAATATATATTTTATTGATTTTGTACAGAGAGGAAGGGAGAGAGATAGAGAGTTAGAAACATCGATGAGAGAGAGTCATCGATCAGCTGCCTCTTGCACACCCCCTACTGGGGATATGCCCGCAACCAAGGTACATGTCCTTGACCGGAATCGAACCCGGGACCCTTCAGTCCCCAAGCCGACGCTCTATCCATTGAGCCAAACAGGTCTTGGCTCCTTTATTTTCATTTAACAATAAATGTGTACCATATTCTTCTTCATGGAAAAATAAGACATCCCCTGAAAATAAGACCTAGCGCATCTTTGGGAGCAAAAATTAATATAAGACACTGTCTTATTTTCGGGGAAACAGGGTACCACACCGTCTTTGCGACGGTACGGGCAGGTATGCTCTATTGTGTGGTGTTCCGTATTCAGACTACAACACGATTTTCTGACATCCGTTTTGGAAAAGGGTTTTATCACCAAAGAAAATGAAGTCATTGGGAAGAGGAGGCCAGCTTTCTGGACACTCCCCCTAGGATTACTTACACACACACACACACACACACACACACACAGCCCCCGTGCGCGTCGCCGCCTCCCCCCCCCCCTAAGTACCAGGCACCTCTCCTGAACACTCCTGCCTGGGGTGGGAGGGGCCTTTGTAAAGCGGGGTGTGGCCTGCCGAGAAAGCTAATATGTAGTGGTTTTTCCTATCCTCACCCAGGAGCCCCTAGGAAAGGAGAAGCTGGGGTCATAAGGATGTAAATTCTCAAGAAGCCAAAGTGCTCCTTCGCAGCTCGGGCCCTGAGGTCACCGCGAAGACACAGCGTGTTCCATAGGGAAGGCAGGTCCGTGGACTGGACGAGCTATTCTGTGTCCAGAGGAGACGCGTGAGCAGCAACCTCAGCTCTCCGGTCCTTCCCACCAATGGGGTCTGGCTGGCAGCTCACTAGATATTTCTGGGAACAATCTAATTAAATATTAACCATGCACAAAACCTTATTCCGACATCTCCAGTAAGTGACCCTGAAGACAAGCACAGCCAGACACTCGACCCAAACTCTATCTTTCCAGGAAAAAAAGGAGCGCGCCTGGAGCACAGGCAGATGCTATTTTCACCCATTAGAAAGTTCTTCATTACAAGGAACGCACTCAGCGTCTGAGGAAAAAACCCAACAAGCAAACACAAACAAAACACCTCGTTTTCCAAACCAAAAATGTGTGCACCTATTTCAGAGACCCCTTCTCTTCGACATTAAAGGTTGCTCTTGATTTATAACAAGAATTAGACCAATAACTTAGCCCTTTAAATTCCATCTTCTCTATGTAGCAACCAGAATTCTTTATTCCTCCTCAAAAGCAAGAGAGGGAGGAAAAAAACAAAAATCAGTGAACGAATAAAGCTTCGGACAGCATCCAGATTCCCTCTGCCCATTAGATTTCTCCCCATCCTACTGCAAGTTCCCGCAAATCGATTATGTCTTAGTGACTTTAAATGCCACTTTTGTTTTTATGATGGGCTATCGGGATTGGGGGGGGGGGGGGGCGACGACGACATTCCGTAGGCCAGAGGATGATGATCACAAGGATAAGTTAAGTTGCGGCCAGGTTACTCCTAGCACTCGGCTTCCCATAAAGCCTTGGTATGCCAAGGTTTTATTATCACTTTCGTTGTTAATCACAAGCACAAAGGTAGAAGGTGTCCCTAGGTTTTTTGGTTTGTTTTTGTGTTTGCTTGTTGTTGTTTTCATTATTTCAAAAGACAGCTGCCATAGACAGAAAGTGCTAACTTGTTTTGAAAGCAGCCGCAGAAGTCAGGGCTCTCTGCAGGGAGAGGCGGGGAGGAACCTGCTCATGGCAGCCACACAGGTCACCACCATCCAGCTTCAGGCAGGGGAGGGAGGCTCTTTATTTCGAAAGTAAGATATATTTTTTTAACTTTTATTTTTGGCTATTTCAGTTTTGCTTGACGTCTTCTGGCAAATAAAGAAGTGTGCTCTCCAACCTCCCCCCTCCCCCCAGGCCTAAGCACACCTCGGTGCTTGCAAAACGAAAAGGAACAGAAAAACCAGAAGCACAGCAAGGCCGCCGGCATCGCGCGGCAGCTCCCCGCAGGCAGGAACCCGCGTCCAAACACACGCCCGCGCCATTGTCTCCCGGTTAAAATAACCTCCCGGGGATGGGGATGCGGGCGCGTGGGAAGCGCAGGAAGGAAAAAACCGAGGAAGTTTCCGTCTGCCGGCGCCCGTGTTCTAAATTAACGAGGGGCGTGAGCCTCCCGCTGCGTGGGCCGGCGCCCGGGCCAACAAGTCTGGCTGCGGACGCCAAACTTGTGGCCCGGCAGGTACCGAGGCGCCGCGCGGCCCTGGGAACGGCCGCCGGGGAGGGGAGGAAACGGGGCGCTTCCTTCAAGGAAACGCGCCGCTTCCCCGAGCGTGGAGGACGGGCACGCACGAGCCGGCGGGCGGGAGGCGGGGAGGGGCCGGCCGGGCACCTGGGCTCCGCGCTCACCTTGACCCCCCGCGAGCCGCCGCCGCCGCCGCCGCCGCATCCCGGCTTCCGGCCGCCGCGGTCCCCGCGCGCACCTCAGGCCCCGGCGCCGGCGCGCGCTTCCGGTTCACCTGCGCGCGGGGCGGCGTCGCCCGCGGAGGCCGGGGGGTGGGGTGGGGAGCGGGTGAAGGGGTGAGGGGGTGAGGGGGCGGGGAGCGGACGGTGGCCGGGCCCTAGGGAGGGGAGGGTGGGATGAGGATGGGGAGACGGCGCCGCCCGCCAGCCCGCCGCCGCCCCCCGCGGCCCGCCGCTCGCCTGGGTCTTGTCGAACTGCTCCCGCTCCGCCTCCAGACTGTGGCCCGGCCTGCGGCTCAGCACCCGCGCCGGCACGTTCTTGATACTGTTCATCCTGCCGCCGCCTGCGCTCCCGGCCCGGCTCCGTGTGAGTGAGTGCGCCCCGGCCGGCCGCCCGAGCCTAGATGCCGCCGCGCCCCGCCCTCCCGCCCGCCGGCCGCTGCCCGGCTCCAGGCCCCGCCCCAGGCCCCGCCCTCCCGCCGCAGCTCCTGCTCCAGTCCCCGCCCCCGCTGGCGCCACGCCCACCTCTCGTCACGCCTCCTAGCCTCGCGGCTCTAGGCCCCGCCCCGCTAGCGCCACACCCATCTCGCGCCACGCCCCCTAGCCCCGCGGGTCTAGGCCGAGGCCCGCAGCCCCTTCACTCATTCCACCTGCTCCGCTTTTCTCCCCATTGGGGCTCAGGCCATTTCCCTTCCCACACACCATCCTGGGGTCGCTAAGACTTGTCTACACCAGTCCAGGATCTGGTTCTTCTTCCTTTTTTTTTTTTTTTTTTTTTTTTTTTTTTTTTTTCGTTTCAGTCTCATTAATATGTGTCACAATGAATACAATGAAGCAGCCCACTCTTTGTGCATCTCTAACCTAACTGCAGCTGTTACCCCCGCGGGGCTGTGCGGCTGTGCAGTGAGACTGAGCACACCTGCCTGGGGGCAGGAACTGGGCGAGGACTGGAGAGGCGGGGCAAGGACAATTTGTGGACAGATTTGAACAAAACACAGTGATGGACCATGGAAGTGCATCGAAGAGAAGCCCCTGGAGGTGGTGTGGGACTTTTCAAAACACTGGCCCAAGCCCCAGTTAGTTGAGCATCTCATTCTGGCACCAAAAGGTTTGCAGGTTCCGTTCCTCATTAGGGCACATACCTGGGTTTCGGGTTCCATCACTGGCAGGGACACATCTGGAAGGCAACTATTGTAATCTCTCTCTCTCCCTCTCTCTCTCCCTTTCTCTCTCTCTCCCTTTCTCTAAACATATACTCAGGTGAGGATTAAAAAATAAAAATAAGCTAAAACCGGTTTGGCTCAGTGGATAGAGTGTCAGCCTGTGGACTGAAAGTCCCAGGTTCGATTTGGGTCAAGAGCATGTACATTGGTTGCGGGCACATCCCCAGTGGTGGATGTGCAGGAGGCAGCTGATCGATGTTTCTCTCTCATCAATGTTTCTAGCTCTCTATCACTATCCTTCTTCTCTGTAAAAAAATCAATAAAATATATTTTAAAAAATAAAAATTAAAAAGTCATTGTATTGATTTTGTTTTTTAAATATGTGTTCTCAGTGGTTGTTATTGTTACCTCCAACTTTCCTATCAGAATACAGGTGTGAAATTACCCAATACAGCTACCAAGGACTCTCCTTGAAGAAGGAAAGTGATCCCTCCATAACCTTGACCGCTATCTCCTCCACACTTACTGGAAGCCATGTGGTGGCTGATGTCTTACTGCCCAGCCCTGGAGCAGACAAGGAGTTCCTGGAAATGGCATTTGACAGGGCTCTCCTCTCACTCCGCTAGAGAGAAACTGACCATGCTTCACCTAATTCCAACCCCGGAAAGGCTTCTCTGCCAGAATAACAACAAAAATGACAACAGCTAATAGTTATTGAGTGCTTATTATTTGTACGGCACTGGGCTAACCCCTTTACATGTGTCATCTCATTTTTAATCCTTGGCGCCCCAGTCAATAGCTGTGATGAAATAAAGATACCCCCCACACACACTACAGAGGCTGCTGGCTCCACACCAAATGTTTCTCAGACTCCTGCTCCACATCCAACAAATCAGTTCTCCAGTGAACTTCACACTTCACACAGCATCTGCTTTTAATCATTTTTAAAAATATATTTTTATTGATTTCATAGAGGAAGGGAGAGGGATAGAAACATCAATAAAGAGAGAAAATCATGGATCAGCAACCTCCTGCACGCCAGCCCCTCCCCCTGCCATCCCCGCCCACAATCCAGGCATGTACTCCTAATGGGAATTGATGTGATCTCCTAGGTCATACATCGATGCCACACTGGCCAGGCAGCATCTGCTTTAAATCAAGCGACAACCCCTCTGGGTCTAGACCATCTGCCATAGTGACTTAACATTAGCAACCAACTACCAGGCTATGACTACGCAGGGTCAGTGACTTTGTGGGCTAAGCGCCCATTTTTATAAATAAACCTTTATTTGTAATGGGATAGGCACTGTGCTGAACACTTGTTGGGATCACAGAGGACTTGGCTTCAGCATCTCCAATGAATTCTAAATTATCTGCTTGTAGGTAAGATGTTGAGCTATTACAGGGCAAGGATCATCATCTTCCTGTTTTATACCCTCAGTGCCTGGCAGGATGCCCAACACATAGCAACGTTCAAAAATGTGTGTGGCCGAAACCAGTTTGGCTCAGTGGATAGAGCGTCAGCCTGTGGACTGAAAGGTCCCAGGTTCGATTTCGGTCAAGGGCATGTACCTTGGTTGTGGGCACATCCCCAATAGGGGATGTGCAAGAGACAGCTGATCAATGATTCTTTCTCATTGATGTTTCTAACTCTCTATCCTTCTCTCTTCCTCTCTGTAAGAAGTCAATAAAATATATATATTTTTAAAAATATGTGTGCAATGAAGGGTTGAAAAGTGGGTCAATAACCCCCCATAACTTGGCAACGTTTTATGGAAGAGCGTTCCTGGGAGCACAAGGACACGGCTTCCTCACTCAGTGTGTCAGGGTTCATCTGTGGGAACGTCTTCAGGGAGTGCTGGCTCCATAGCTGATGGGCGGAGAGTCTCCTAATCACCAGAATCAGGACACCGAGCTTTGGTGTGTCTCCAGGGCTTCTTAAGGCTCCACCCAGGATATTACAAAAGGCAAAGCATTTGGGATATGAATTAGACCTTGTCTCCAGAAAAATCCCGGGAGGCAAACAGTAGAGGTGACATCATTGCTCATTAGAATGATGGTGCTGCAATCCCCACACTGTCTCATTGACACATGACGCCGCCCGCCTCTCTGCTCGGCTTCGTCTTGCTCCATCCTGGTCCAGCGGGTCTGAAGGTATGTCAGTCACACTCCTTCCACCTAAGGCCTTTGTCCATACTGTCTGGAATGCTCTTCCTCTTCTGTTTGCCTGCTCATCTTTCATCTCTTAGGTCAGAGGTCACCTCCTCAGGAAAGCCGTCTCTGAACCCTCCGCCCTCGCCCTATGCCCCAGCTGCAGGCTGTCGCCGTGCTCGAAGCTTTATTTCATAGCACTTACCAGTTTCCATGACCTATTTGTGATTATTTCATTAAGGTCGCTCCCCCACCAGGCTGTAAATAGCATGGAGTCTGCTTTGCTCAGTCGTGTGTCTCCTCCCGTGGCCAGCCAAGCAGAACTTACTGTGCTCAAATTATTTCCTTTTTTTGTTAGATCTCTTAAATATGCATTTGGCTGAGAACCCAGAAATCATCCTGATTGATATGCCCTCTTCCTTTGACTAAATCCTCTCAGAGACCAAGCTGGTTTTTAGCCTACCTTGTCAGCTGTGGTCCTGACTGGTTTCTTAGTCCAATCTTACCACTGTTTCCTATCCCTTATGAAGTAGTTGCTAAGATTATTCTGTGTAAGGCCTATCATGAACCTTCCTGAAATGAAGGCTAACAAAATCAATCTCAAATGGTCCCGGGGAAAACGAAGGTGCATTACTTTGAAACCACTAACTACAGGTATCTCAAAGGTGTGTGTGTGGGGGGGGGAGTGTAATCTCAGGTCAAGGTCACCGAGGAAAACTATAGATTGAATAGCCATGGCATGCATAAGGTTTCAAACCTCAGCCATGGTCCTGAAACGAACCAACCTTATCCCACGGAGCCTCTCAATCCTATGCATTCTACTAGCACCTTTTAGGTAAGGCTGTTTTTGGCTTGGTACTATTTTGATTCAGACTTGATTTCTTTTAGGGTATTTCTATGTGTTGAAATGATCTGTTCATACAAATCCTAAAAATAACCTTTTATCCAGTCTCTTCTGATGGCTGAGAGAATTTCTGGCAGGCCAGTTATAGTACAACTTAGTTGCTTCCTCTTAAGATAAAGGATATGAATGATGCAAAATATAAATACTAAAATCCAGTTTTATCCTGCAATTATTTTAAACATACTGAAGCTGCTTCTCTTTAACAGAAATTGCTCACATTTAAATCACTTTAGCCAAAACTGGTTTGGCTCCATGGACAGAGTGTCAGCCTGGGGACTGAAAGGTCCCGGGTTCGATTCCGGTCAAGGGCATGTACCTTGGTTGCGGGCACATCCCCAATGAGGGGTGTGCAGGAGGCAGCTGATTGATGTTCCTCTCTCATTGATGTTTCAAACTTTCTATCCCTCTTCCTTCCTCTCTGTAAAAAAAATCAATAAAATATATATTAAAATAAATAACTTTAGCCACAAAAAGAAAAAAAAACATGTGTCTTTGCCTTCTTTCTCCTAAACTCCAAGGAACTCCTCATTGCAACCAGGGGAGCAGTGGGCAGTGGCAACACGTCCCGGGCGAACCGCCTGAGCCTGTCTCTGAGGGCCCTCCTTTGTTTCTCTACTCTTTCCTGAGTTCATGCAGCCCTGCTGGCTCATTTCTTCTGCCTCTGAGACTTTCTTCTTAAAGGGCCAAAGCAGCTCTGCCTCTACTCACTCCAGTTGCTACCATCTTGCCTGTTCTATCTTATGCCCTTCCTTTGTTTCACTGTCCCCAGTTTCAATCCACACACTCTCAAAATAAAATACTAACTTTAGCCACAAAATAACTTTTTTTAAAAAATATATATTTTATTGATTTTGTACAGAGAGGAATGGAGAGAGATAGAGAGTTAGAAACATCGATGAGAGAGATTCATCAATCAGCTGCCTCTTGCACACCCCCTACTGGGGATATGCCCGCAACCAAGGTACATGCCCTTGACCGGAATCGAACCCGGGACCCTTCAGTCCCCAAGCCGACGCTCTATCCATTGAGCCAAACCGGTCTCGGCGCCACAAAATAACTTTTGACTTTTCAAACCTTTTCATTCCCAACATTTTCCTCTTTAGAAGCTAATGAGTGTTCTCTTTTCACAGGCAGGTTCACAGGTGGCGGAAAGAGAAACTTGCTCGCATCATGAAGAGGAGATTAACATTTTGACTCAGATAGGAAGGCAGCCTCTGCACACAGGTTTCTGACTTGGGGGCCATAGTTCTGAATCAATGATCCCTTTCTTAGATGCTACACCAAGCAGCCTAGCCTGAGGGGAAAAGCAAGCATTTGTAAAGAACACAGCACTCTAATCCAAACGGCTCCATGAGGTGGCTGCTCCGTTCACCGCTGCTGCCCCCCTGGAGCCCCTGAACAGAGGGGCATTTACCCAGCCCAGCAGAGCTCTGAGATCTGACATGCGTAAAAGGCCTGCCCCCATTCCTGAGGAAGGGAACATGCCAGGATTGGCTTCTCGTGACCAACCTTCCTCATTTCACTCTTGTATGATAAAAAGAAGCCAAAGAAAACTATTATTAAAAATATTTTTATTGACTGAAGCTGATCAATTTTCTTAGAACAGAGAGGCACATAGTATATTCTTTAAAAAATTAAATTACAAGTTAAAACGGAAGTGTTTTAGACTTTAATATATTTTTAATGCATATAAAACTTGATCTTTCGGCAAGCTGTCGTTTGTGTGAGCCGAGGAGACAACTACATAACATTGTAAGTCTGTTTATGAAGCCACGTCCAGAGCTGAAACCACAAGAAAGGAGAAGAGAATACCGTTTCTCATGTAGTTGGAGCTGACTTCTAATAAGCTGCTGGTTATAATGCATGGAGGTCTTTTTCTCTTTTAGCATAATCCCATTTGTGTATTGGAGATTAGAGAATAAGGTTTAATTTCCTACACGTGAAAAATATTTGACATATGCAAATGGTTAACTTGAAAACAAACAAAATACAGGTGTTTAACATTGACTTTCAGTTTCTGCTCCCCTTTGGTATAAAATCGCTGCTCGTGGGAGATTACAATCCTCTTTTTGTTTTCAAGGTTAAGTACCAGGTATTGATGTCTGCTTCCTACCTTCCGCGTAGATGAGAGACCAGCTTCTGTAGGAAGGAAATACCGAGTTAATAAAATCAATGATGCTGGACTGTGTGCTAGGAATTCCCAGTCACTAAAAAATTAAATGTATCCTGCCTTGGCTGGTTTGGTTCACTGGACAGAGAGCATTGGCCTCAGACTGAAGGGTCTCAGGTTCGATTCTGATCAAGGGCACATGCCAGGACTCAATCCCCAGTAGGGGGAGCGTGCAGGAAGGAGGCAGCCAATCAATGATTCTCTCTCATCATTGATGTTTCTATCTCTCTCTGCTTCTCCCTTCCTCTCTGAATCAATAAAAATATATTTTAAAAGAATCAAATGTGTCAACATAAGGTCATGCAAAATATTACAAATACGGAAACTTCTCAGCAGAGAGAGGAGGGATAGGAGAGAGGAAGAAAGGGAGAGGACTACTAAAGCTTTTTACTTTCACAGGTTTTTTTTGAAATGCTCTTATGTTTATATCTAAAACAACTAAAATGATGAATACTTTTTAACCTAAACTGGGTTCTACAGAAACTGTGCATGTGACAACCTGAAACCCCATGAAAAGACTTTGTCCCAAGACATTCAAATGAGATGGTCATTTACATTCTGATTTTGAATGCTCTATGTGGTCACTGCCTTCCATTTAAAATTCTAGGTATTGAGAACAAGATTTTTTTTTTTACCTCCACTTCTAGTACAAGTAACTGACATTTCACCCTGATTAAATTTAGCAGGTATGTATAAATAGGTCAAACCAAAGAGAAAGAATTGCAGGTCAAACAAACTGAACTCCAGCTTATCAGTGCTCCCAAGTTACTCATTAAATCTCCATTGAGATAGAAGGCGAGATAGGCAAAGGTGACTTACCCACCAATATTGGAGACTGAAGTGGACTTTTGTTTTCTGCAGTTACTCAGAGGTGTTTTTTTGAGCTGACTCTTCTGAGGCTTCTAAGTTCTACAGAACAACTCCCAAATTAGTAACCAGGAGAGAAAAACTAGAAGATACTTAAGAAGACAACATTCAAATACAGCAGTTGTGCCTGGAACAGATCTCAGGGAATTAATTAATGGAATACAATGAAGGAGTGTCATTCCATGAGCATCCATCCTTCCCACAAGGACCTGCTCATTTCCTGTTTGTGTGTGGGGTCCTTTGTTTCATAGTGGACCGGGGATGCTGTTTGCTTTACCACACGTGTTGGGGCTGAACTCTGGCTAATGCTCAAAGATACCCAGGGCTTTGTCAGCCTCCCTATCGATTCCGTGGTGAGTCCTTAATCAAGATAATGGTCATGAAAAAGAATCAACCACCCTAAGTGTTCTCATTCATTTGCCTGCCTAATGAATGAGGGCTTAGTCAGCAGTTAGGTGTTTGGGGATTTTTTTTTTTTTTTAAGAGAAAAAAAGGTGATACCTCCTGGAAAGACAGAGGTAGACACGGTGATGAACTTCAGCTTGTAAGATAGCCCCTTCTCAGCTGCTTCCTCCTCCCCACGGGGCCTATGGTTGAGCCTCCTTAGCATTGCCCTCGGTGCCTCCAGACCTCCCTGCTTGACCCACGCTGCCCTCTCTCCACTCAAACAGCCCTCCTATGTATCTTACAATCTGATGGATTTTACTTTATTCACTTAAAAACACGGTTCTAAAAGGATCCACAGGCTTTAGCAGCCTGCCACACAAAAAGTGATGATACCAGTAGTCTCAAACTAGTAATGAGGACATCCAGTCAAAACTTCACGTCCAGTCTCAGGCCAAGTCCCTCCCCACCCCCACACCTCAAGCTCCTCGGAAGCTGCTGTGGGGGAAGGGGACGGAATCAGCTGTGCTGTGTTCTAGTCTTTTCTTTTCTCTCTCTTTTTCAGTTACTGGTATATTTTTTCAATAGTTAATGCACTGATGTGGTTTGAAAAAATCATGCACATTCTTATTCCCATTCCCTTCTGTAAACATGGTGAATACCATATGAACCTCTCAGTATCTTGCTTCTTTTCACTTAAAAACACACCCTGGAAATATTTCCACACCCAGATCTTCCCCATCTGTTTCACGGCGAGGCTACCTCCTAACCTTTGCTGTTAAAAGCAATCCTGCTGTGAGAGGTTCCTTGTCACACCTGCAGGGGTGTCTGCAGGAGGAGCTCCCCAAAGCTTTTAGGAAACAGCCAGGTCCCTGCCTGAGGGATGGAATCACTCTGTGCTCCCCCAGCCACAACGAGAGTGCCTGCCTCAGAGACAGGCTTAGAAGTAAGACCCTTGTCTCCAGCAGCAGATGGCAAAACCTGGAGAAGCAGACTGGCTGCTCAGAACACTCCCTGCTTCCCAACTGCAAAACACAACCGTCTGGGCCCTGGCTGGGTAGCTCAATCCGTTAAGAGTGTCATTGTGACACGCCAAGGATGCGGGTTCAATTCCCAGTCAGGGCACTTATGAGAATCAACCAATGAATGCATAAATCAGTGGGGACAACAAATCCATCTGTGTGTGTCTCTCTCTCAAGAAAAAAAAAAGGGGGGGGGAGGGGGGGGGAAGAAGTCTGTAAAGTTCACTGCTAAGTTGGTTTTTGCTCATTGTTTTCCCAACATCCCCAGAATCACTTAATCCAATGGACACACATTACATTCAGAGCCAATATGCTTCCCAACTAAATGATTATCTGATTCTAGCTGTGGGATGTTAAGAGATTTAGTCACTTTCCTCACCTCTAAAATGAAAGGTTGAGATTAGACATCTCTTCTGGGTCTTTCTAGCCCCCAAATTCCCTTAAGTTTTCACCAACCTCCATCAGCTCCAGTGATTTTTCCTCTATACCTGAGGTCACTGTTTAGCCTCTTCCTTCCCTTTTCCTACAAACCCGGTCGGGGTCTTTCCTGAGCATCCTGTGTGATGTGCTGTACCTGGGATGTCCCCTGAGTAAGAGGGGCACTAAGAGCTCAGGGATGAGCAGGGAGCCATGGAGTCGGTGATCAGGTGCTGAGACGCATGCTCTGATGGAGACACACCTACACACACATACACATCCTGTGTTATGAGGTCAAAAGTGAGGGAGCTACTGATTATGTCTCCGATAGGAATTCAACATCAGGCCCTAAAGAAGAGGCTGAGCCCTAGCTGGTTTGGCTCAGAGCACAAAGCCTCAGCCTGTGGGCCAAAGGGTCCTGGGCTCTATTCCGGTCAGGGGCACGTAACCTGGTTACAGGCTCCTCCCTGGCCTGGGCCTGGTCAGGGTGCATGCAGGAGGCAACCAATCGCTGTGTTTCTCTCACATCAGTATTTCTCTTTCTTTCCCTCGCTCTTGCACTCTCTCTAAAAATCAATGGAAAAATATCTTTGAGTGAGGATTAAAAAAATAATAAAATAAAAATTAAGAAGAGGCTGAAACAAGAGCTTGAGGCTGGGGATGAGGAGGAGTCTGCCAGTGATTAAACTGAAACACAGCAGTTCTGCTGCGACACTTGCTTTGAGAACATGAATTTGCTCCAACATATCTGGTGTATTGGGAAACACATCTGAGCCCAGTGTGAAGGGTGCATTTGTTCATGTGACTTTTGCCCACAAGAAACACTAGGCAAAATGTACCCAGCTGAATTGAGCCATGCCATGTAGGAATACACACACACACACACACACATCTACTGCTACCCCTCCACATCCGATACCCCTTCTTCTCCCATTTCCCAATCAATCTCCAGCTAGAACCGCTTGGACACTCGAACTTCATGTCTTTTTCAAGATGAAGTGCCATATGTACTGCAGTATTCCGCTATGCTTGCTTTTAAAAAGTCCTTCTGTGTTAGGGATACATGAGACATCTATGAGTAAAATGATATGATGTCCGGGAGAAAAACGTGTGTGAATGGCGGAGATAAGACAAAAATGACAGAAAGTTGATGGTTTCTGAAGGTCTGTGATTACAGAATTCGTTCTATATCCGTGTGTACTGAAAATTTTCTATAATAAAGTATGCGGGGGTTTTTTGTGTTTTTTTAATCGCCACATAACTAGAAAGAGGAAGTCTGGGTGCAGCAACATTAGAGTATGACATCTTCTTCCTCCAAACCAGTGGCTGCCCCCTCCCTCTGAGACACAAACGAACTGGCTCACCACAGGACGTGGTGGGGCCCTCAGGCACTACGTGTGGGGCCAAGAGAAGAGGAGGCACGTACCTTCCTGGCAGCGCCTTCGGCGTTCTCAGAGCTGATGGGGAGCAGAGTGCTCAACTCCAGGTCCGTGACCATCTGGCGAGATTCTGCCAGCAAACGCTGAAGCTTGCTGGTGGGAGAAAAATCGTCCTGGGAAGACAACGCGATGTCAGCATCCATGAAATGAAGGAGCATATTGAAATGTAAAAGTATCAGTGCTTTTACATAAATACCTTTCTATAACAAGGTATAAAACCAAACATGGAAGCAACTT